GGGGGGGGGACTTGAGTAGGCATCTTTATATTTTTTACTTTTAGTATTCAAGTCTATGAGTATAGGAGAATTGTTGCTATTCTTCCTTTTATAGATAGAAAGATAGCATATTGAGGTGCTATTAGGGGAAGAGGGTTAATCTTGGCACAATAAATTCAATATATTAATATGGTGTTAAACATAAAAAAAATATTTCCTACATGATCATGAAGGATCTTCTCTTTATGTTTTGGAAATTCTTATGCCTTCATCTTCTATTTTTAGGTCTATAACCTATCTGAAATTGATATTTGATGTAGCAGACTGTATTCGTTTCTACTTCTACTGTGGATTTTCAGTTAAAACAGCACTACTTTTGGAAGATTACCTTGTGAAAGCTGTCAACAATATTATCTTTTTATCAGCCACACATCTATATAGAGCTGGAGCTTGTATAAATGCAATTTCTTCAGATCGTCTACTTGTCTGTCCTTACAGCAGTAACACACACACTCTATTAAACACAACATATATCTCAATATCCAGAAGAGCCAAAACACCATCCTTGTTTTTCTGCATGTATAAGACCCAATGCTGTTGGACCTTTGCATGTTTTTATAATTGGTAGAATCAACATGTCAGTTTCAGAAACAAATCTGCTGAGATTTTAATTGGCAATGCACTGAATCTATAGATAATTTGGGAACTATTAACATGAGTGTAATGCTGAATTTTCTAATCCATGAGCATAGCATAATTCCCTTTACTTAGGGCTTTAGTTTATCACAGTAACATTTATGTCTTTTTACATAAAGGACTTATGCATATTTTGTTCCTAAGTATTTGATACTTTTTAGATGAAATTAGTACTGTTGAAATTAGCGTACATAAAAATTAAATTAAATTGGATATATTGACTAAATATTGAACACATTTCCCAAACTAATTTTAATTTTAATAAATTATTTTTCATCCTATAACCATTGAAATCTTAGCATGAATTCTTTTTATTTTATTAATAAATAATGGTGATTGCAATAATCAATTTTAAAATATTAAGACAACTGTTTTTTGAAACTCACCCTATCTTCCCCTCTGTCTCGCGTACTCACTTTTCTTCTCTGTAGCTCTATGATAGTAGCATTTTTAGATTACACAGTTGACATCATCATCTAGTGTTTTGCTGTTCATGGCTTATTTTGCTAAACATAACATCCTTCAATTGACTGATGTTTTACAAATAACAAGATTCCATTCTCTTTTTTTATCTTTTTGAGAGAGGGTCTCCCTGTAGCCCCAGATAGCCTTCAACTCACTATGTAGACCAGTAGACCCAGCTGACCTTGATCTCACAGAGCTCTGCCTGTCTCTGTCTTTCAAATGCTGGGATTAAAGGCATCAAAACTGGCCTTCTATTCTGTTTTAATAGTAGAATAAGGTTCCATTTTCTTTATCCACTTACCTGTTGATGGACACTCTGATTACTTACCTTGTGTATTATAAAAGTGCTGTAATAAGCATGGAAGTGCAAATATTCCCTCAACATACTGATTTCATTTCCCTTGGATATTGTTATGGTTTGGAAGTGTTCCTTGCAAGCTCAAGTCCTTAAACACTTGGTTCCCAATTGACAGCACTGTCTTGAGAGGCTGTAGAATCTTTACAAGGTAGGGCCTACCTGGGTTGCTGCAGGGAAGGTATTGCATGGCGGACAGGCCAGTTGTGCTTTCTGAACCATGGAAACATAACAAGCTGTGCAGCAAGCCCACCACCACGGAGCCATCTGCCACCAGGCCTTCCCCACCATGACGGACTATATCCTGTCAAATCGTAAAGAAGCAGCTCCTCTCTTAAGTTGCTTCTTTCCAGTATTTGTCACAGCAACAAGAAAAGTCACTAATACAGATATACAACCCATAGGAAGATTGCTAGATCCCATGATGGGCTTCTTTTTCATTTTTTGAAGACCCTTCCTACAGCGCTCCATAATGGCTATGATCATTTTCATTTCCATCAACAATGCATAAGATTGCCACTACACCTATTCCAGCAGCTGTTATTGTTTTGCCCTTTTGGTAACAGCCATTCTAATCAGAGTAAGGTGATGTTTCATTGGGACTTTGATTTGAATTGCCTTAAAAATTAGTGATAATAAACATTTTTATAGACAACAATTTTTATGAAAAGTATACTTGTGGTTTTTGTTCATCTTTTAAAAATGAGATTGTTTCTTGTTATTGAGTAAATTCAGTTCTTTATGTATTCTGGGTATTGACCCTTTATTAGATGCATACTGTGAAAATATGTCCTCTTATTTTGCAGGATTAAAGGCATGTGTCACCATGCCTAGCTTTCTTCTTTTATTGTTTCCTCTGCTGTATATATCTTTATAGGCTTTTTAATTTTTATTTTGACATATAATTGTGCTTATTTATGGTGTGATAATATGTGCATATGTCTTGATCAAATCAAAATAGTTAGGATCTCCATATCCCTAAAATTTTTAATTATTTTTTTCTTACGTGAACACTTTTTTCTTATTTATGTGAAGAATGCCATTGATATCTTTCTAAAGATTGTATTTAATCTGTAGACTTCTTTTGGCTAGTATGGACATTTTAACAATATTGGTTTCATATTTAACATTGATTCCATGCTCATATTTAACAATATTAAATCCATAAGCATGAAGTACCCTTTTATTTGAGTCCCTTGAATTTTTTCATATACATTTTATAGGTTTCATTATAGAAGTCTTATACCTCTCTGGTTAAATTTATCCCTAGGCTTTGCAGATTTTCTTAGCGAACACTGAATAGAATTACTAGATTTCTTTTTGAGATAGTTCATTATTGGTATATACAAATGCTAAGAATTTTTCCAATGGTCACTTCATATCATGCAACTATAGAATTTATTATTTCTGTTTTACAGTGGAGTCTCTGGGTTTTATACATAATAGACCATACTATCTATAAACAGGGGTGATTTAACTTTTTCTTTCCTATCAGAGGTGCCCTTTTCTTTCTCTTCCCTTGATTGTTCTGGCTAGGGTTTCTAGAATAAAAGTGATTAAAGTGGGTATCCTTGCCCTATTCCAGATCTTAGTGAAAAGGCTTTCAGTGTTCACCATTTGCTTTGCTACTAACTGTGGTATGCCACATCAAACCTTTCTGGTGAGGTATATTCTATCCCTGATTTTTAGAGATTATTTAGAGAGGTTTTATCATAAAAGGGCATTAGATTACATCAAATGCTGTTTATCCATTGAAATGATCATATGGTTTCTGTCCCTTTTATCCCTGAATGTGATTGCTATATTTATTGATTTGCATATATTAAACCATTCTTACATCTTCAGGAAGAATCTCTCTTGGGCATAGTGAATGATCCTCTTAATATTGTTGTAATGTTGTTTCCTTCAAATTAAAACACTTCCTCCTGGGGAGAAGAAGAAAGGAGGAGACTCATAAGACTGAGGAACTAAATAAAGCCTGCAAGGTTTAAGGAATAAGCAAAGCTTACAGGTTCAGGAGGCTCCTGAAACTTACAAGATTCACAAGGTCCCTCCCCAAGGTTATATAAGCAGTAACAATTGATGGGGAAAGAAAACTGACTGGCCAGCTGCCTCCAAGTTGTGTAGGGTGCTCCAGGGATAAAGCTGCAACAAGACATCACCCATGCTGAAGAGGGCTGCTCAGTCATGGGGCTGTCTTTGAGTCTCCATGATGATTAAAGGAATCCCTCATTTAGCCTCCTGTAAGTAATCCCAATAAACTCACCAGTTCACTAAGCTATACTTGGGATGGAGTTGTTTCCTTGTTCTGCCATTAGTGCCTTATCTGGGGCACATCTCCCCAGGAAAAATCATAAAACACGTATTGTTGGATTCACTTTGCTTAGTGTTTGTGATTTTTGCATCTATGTTCATCAAAAATAGTTTCTCTTTTTATGTTCTTTTAAATTTTTAAATTATCTTTATTTTATGTGTATGAGTGTTATTCCTGCATGTATTTAGTGCACCCATGTCATGCAAAGCCCACCAGGCTAGAAGAGAGTGTCGGATCCCCTGGAACTGGTGTTATGGACCGTTGTTAGCCTCCATGTGGGTTCTGGGAATCAAATCTGGTCCTCTAGAAGAGCAGCCAATGCTCTTAAGCACTGAGCCATCCCACCAGCCCCTTGTTATATTCTTAAATGATTTTAGTGTCTGTATAATGTGGTCTCCTAGAATGAGATTGGAATAATTACACCCTCTTCAATGTTTGGAATAGTTTGAAAAGAATTGCATTAGTTCTTTGTTAAGTGTTTGGCAGAAGTCATGAGGTCCTCAGCTTCTCTTCAATGCTTTTGTTTTTTGTTTTGTTTTGTTTTTTATTTGTTTTTTGAGACAGGGTCCCACTGTGTCCCCAGCTGGCCTGGAATTCTCTCTGTAGACCAGGCTGGCTGTAATCTAACAGATATCCTCCTGACTCTGTCTCCTTAGTGCTGGGACAATGGGAGATTTTTTATTAGTGACTTACACTACTTATTATTTATCTTACTGATTTTCTATTTCTTTATGAGTTTTGGAAGGTTGCACATGCCTGGAAATCTTCATTTCTAGTTACATTTCTAGTTACATTTTCTTATCCCTCCTGATATATCAGTGTCTGGGAGAGATGATGAAGTTTCCTACTATGATGTGGATTTTTCTGTCTCCTTGTGATTCTGTCAGTTTGGCTTTATTTTATGTTCTGTTATAGTGCTTAGAAATTCAAAATTTGCATCTTTTCCTAATGAAAATTTACCAAATAAACTGTTGCTCTTAATCCCTAGCAATGATTTGTTTTGCTTTAACATTTATTTTGTCTGATATTAACATTGCTCCATCTTTTCCTTGGATAATTGGCTGTGCGTTTTCTCTTTAAAATGTTAGTATCCTTTAGAAATACATTTCTTGTAAGAAGATGGTCAGGAATGTAACTCAACTGGTGGAGTATTTTGCCAACATACACAGAGGCTCCAAGTTTGATCAGTATCACATAGACTGGACACAGATGTACACACCTCTAATTCCATCACTTGGAAGGTGGAGGCAGAAGAATCAGTAATTTAAAGTCATCCACAACTACATAGCAAGTTCAAGGGCAGTCTGGAATGTATAAGATTCTATAGGCATATGTATTATATATAAAATGGAGTTTTTTACATGTAAATATAATGGAGGCATTATGTGTGTGTGTGTATATATATATATATATATATATAATAGAGTACATGGAATTGGGTGGAAGGTAGTAAGGAGGGTGCAGATGGGGAGAAGATCTAAATACAATTAAAATACATTGTATGAAATTCACAGAAATACAACTTTTTTTAAAAAAACAGCAGATGATTGCTAGGTTTCAAATGTGTATTCTGACAATAGCGGTCTGATCATTTTAAATGTGGTTCTTTTATTCAGTATAATTACTAATATTTTTAGTTTCCAATTATATCACTATGTACTTTCTGAATTTTCCACCTATTTTATATTCATTTGATTCTTTACTTTTTTGAATTTAAGGGTGATTGTTTCTTCATTGGATATTTTTCCAGTTAAATGCTAATTTACATGTAAATAAATAAAATAAACCAATTGCTTAGACAATTCCAAAAGATACTGTCAACATCTGGTAACTTTTGTAAAACAGAGACACTATTTAAAAAGTTTAAAACGCAAGTGCTCTTTACTTGGAACAAGAAGAAACTTTGAATATGGAGGAATCAGTCATTTCCTAACAGTCATGTTTGCTCTTTTCCGTGGGGAGGAGGAAGTCTCTCCATCCACCAGTTGAAAGATTTAGTAGAAAGACAAGCCAGACCTTCTGTCAGATCAGAATCATCTCTGCAAGCTGAGTTGTTTACATCCAAAACAGTTTCTCCTTTTTGAAACAAGGAAAAACCCTTTCCTCGCATCCAAGTTCTAAATTCATTTGCAGAAGTGATGAAGTCTTAGGCGACCTCGTGCGTCCTTGTTTAAGAACTCCATTCTGCTCTAGTGCTCTAAGGTGTTTTCTAACCAGAGGTACAAGCAAGTCGGATGCTCCAAGAATGAAGAAACAACGCAGAGGCTAGGTCCGAGTTAGGAAGGAAGGGGTCCTGCACCACGCTGGAACCGAGCCTTCCCCCCTTCTGAGTCGCAGTGACTGCAATGCTAGCTTTACAAGTTCTGTCCCAGACCTAAACAATGATCATGGACACACCCCCAGCGAGTTAAAGCGGATACAGAATCTCTGCACCCGGCTCCAGCCTAGAGGGCGAGGAAGGTGCAGAGAGAGGCGGAAAGAGGGCAGCCCGTTTAGGGGTTGGCCAGGGCCCCTGGGTCTCCCCCCAGTGAGGCTGCAAGGACTCTGGACCCCCACGGCTACGGCAGGGTCGGGTCCTCGGAGCTCCGCGATGGCTGCACCTCTGCGGTGGCCCTCCTCTCTCTAGGTGGCCCCCCGCTTCTCCCGAGCGGTTCCCGTGTCCCCAGGGGCCAAGCTGGAAGCATCCGCGACTGGAGCCGCTGCCCTTCCCGCCGCCCAGCGACCTGAGCTGCCTGGCTGGGGGCGCAGATCCGTCCCGCGCTGCGGAGCCCCAGGAGCAGCCCCTCCGCCCTGCCTGGAAGAGATGCAGAGATCCCGCTGCGGGGCCGCCCACGTACCTGGGAGACCCGGGGCCTCAGCTTGTCCGCGTCCTCTTGCCGTCTAGGGACCAGCTGTTCGGGACCGGGAAGTGCTGGAAGGGGATGTCCCCGAGCTGCAGCCCTCCCTTCCCAGTCAGGGGACCGCCCACTGCACCGCAGGAATCCACCACCGACCCACAGTAGCGCCACCCGCGCCACCCCCGAACCCGCAGGCAAAGTGGAACAAAGCGGACCTTGGCCGCGGTTGCAGGGAAAACAGAACTGAGAGGCCGGAGACCCGGTTGTGGGAGTTTCCCAAACACAGGCAGACTGGGCGGGTGGAAAGCCGAGTGCCCAGTTAACATTTTAGCAGGGTTCATCTTCCAGTTCATAGCAGTCCTGGCAGGAAGAAGAAATTCTAAAGAGACGCTTGCGACTCTTCCTTTTGCTGTTGGAATTTTGAGACAGGAGTTTCCTGCTTAGGAGAAGGAAAAGTTAGTATTCTGGTGCAGGTCACAGGAAACACATGTCCTAGAAACAGATTTCTGATAGTTCTGAGAACTTGTCAGCTCACCTTGGAGGAGAGCCTGGAGCCTCGACAGTGAGTTCGGGACCCATGCCTTAATTATGGATACCTCTTGCCTTACCTGAACTTGAACCTGGACTACTTTATTGGATCTCCTTCCCAATGTGGCTTCACTGAATCTTTCTGTGCTTTTCACTATTACTCATGTCTTTTTTAAAATATGTTATTTATTTTTATTTCATGTATATGAGTGTATTGCCTGCGTGTGTATAAGTGCACCAGCAGGGTTACAGGCGGTTGTTAGCGTGATGTGAGTGCTGGTAACAGAACCTGGATCCTCTTCAAGAGCAGCCAATGCTCTTAAATACTGACCCATCTCTCCAGGCCCTACTACTTGTGTCTTTGAGTACATTACTGAGGACTAGTAGGAGAGGCTAGCTTTTAGGGCTGCCAAGGCCAGACTCGACCTATGCAACTCTAGTAACAAAAGTTTATCTCACTCTTAACTCTTATTTTTTTAAATCTTTTTGAGACAGGGTCTCCCTGTAGCCCCAGCTGGCCTGGAACTCATTATGTAGACCAGGCTGGCCTCGAACTCACAGAGATCCGCCTGCCTCTGCCTCCTGAGTGCTGGGATCAAAGGCTTGTGCGACCACACCGGGCTCAACCCTAACTCTTTAATCTCCTCATTCTTCTCCATCTTCAGAAACTGGAACTCACCTCAGGAATCTCATTTCTTTCTCTCCGTTTTCAATGCTTTGTTTACCTGCCAGTATAGCTCTAGATTCATCTGCACTCAAAGTCTATTAAAATAGCTTAGCAGCCACCATCCAGACCAACACAGCAGTATTTTTTAGGCATTTTTGAGTTTTAATTTTTATATACACACATATAATCCATTATACCTTTTATTGGTTTCCTTAAGTCATCAGCATCTCTGTACACACTAATACCCATCACAAATGATTAAATACCTTTTTTGCTCAGCATAGTCATTTTACAGCTTTGTTTAGCTAGAACAGGAAAATAAGTTTAAAAACAAATGTCTGTTGACCAGAAATGAACCCAAGGGCAGGAGGTTTTTTGGGGGGAGGGGTTATTTTGTTTCATTTTCTTTGAGACAGGGTCTCATGTAGCCCATGTTGGCCTTGAACTCACTGAGGTTGACCATGAACTTCTGATCCTCCTAGCACAAATTTCTGAGTGCTAGGATTACAAGAGTTTGCCACCGTGCCTAGTTTTATGTGGTACTAGGGACTGAACCCAGGGTTTCATAAGCAAGCCAGGCAAGCACCTACCAACCAAGCTGTAGCCCAGCCTAGGGCAGCTTTTTTCTTTGTTAATTTTATCCACATTGCCTAGAACAATACCTGGTATTGCCCAGTAAATATTTGTTGGCTGACTGTATCATACTCATCCATTAGACTGTGTCCTATAGAGGAGTGAAAATGAATTATCTCCAAATATTTCCATAATATGGAATGCAGAGAACACGTTGTGACAGACTAGGAAGCCAGAGGAGGAAGGAATTACCAAGGCAACTTCAGTGGTAGAGGCAGCAGTGCCCACCTCAGTTTTGGTTTTTTAATTTTTTTTTCTTCTGTGTATGAGGGTATTGCCTGCATGTAGATAGGTGCACCCATGTCATGCAGTGCCTGTAGAGGTCAGAAGAGGGCATCATAGCCCCTGGAACTGGAGTTACAGACAGCTGCCAGCTACTACATAGGTGTTGGGACTCAAACCCAGGTCCTCTGCAAGAGCAGCCAGTGCTGTCAACCACTGAACCATCTCTCCAATCCCTCCCTCCAACTGAGTTTTATGTGACCGAAGGAATGTTCTCTCAGTGTGCACACAGCAGCATTTTTGCCCACAGTGTGGATGGGTAAGGACAGCTCAGGCTCTTCTTTCCCTCTGTCTGGAGGCCTGCCCCTGCCAGGTGCATTTAGCAATTACCCTACTCCTCCTCCCACCAGGAAGATTTGGGGCTTTCCCTCCCATCTATAACTTTGAAGCTAAGTACTTTTCCTATTCTATCTCCAGTCTGCTTCTCACAGTGATTGTAAACATAGTGGTAGACTGAGTGGCTTCACTGATAGAGAAGTGGAGCTGGAGTGATGACTCAGCAGTTAAGAGCACTAGCTGCTCTTGCAGAGGACCTGGGTTCAGTTCCCAGCACCCACATGGCAGTTAGCAATGGTCTGTAACTCCATTTCCAGGAGATCTGGCATCCTCTTCTAGCCTCTGAGAGTATTGCACAACACGGGTGCACTTAAACACGTATAAGCAAAACACTCATACACATAAAAGAAAAATAAAATATTTTAATATTGCTGAAGAAGTGACTTTACCTTCAGCAAGAAGGAATGCTTATAAGGGGAAGTGAACTTTTTAGAATTTAATAAACTACCTTTTGTGCTTATAACTACATTTGATCTTGGTGAACTGAGGTCTGACGCAGAGCAAGCCTTCTTTCTTTTCCTTTACACTAAGACATGCCATGCAAATCAGAAAGGACAGACGGAGGTTTGAAACCAGCTTTACCCTAAGACCAGGGCTCTTTTCTCCCACTTGTGACACATCCCTCATCATCTTGAAAGGTTCTGTAGGGAAGTTAAACTTCTCGCTGAAAATGAGGTCGTTGAATCTGCTGTAACAAGCTGCAAAGAGGAGGAAAACATATTTACCCACATTTACATGTGTCTGGGAGCCAATACAGGACAAGAAACTCAAAGAAGGGCCAGTTTGGATTTTTAGGGGAGAGACTGAGCCCAGAGAACAGACTACTGGGATCTAGTTTGTTGTTCAGTCTCTTGCTCTGTAATATGAGTTTAATCTTTGAGAGTCAGTGGCAATAGTGTTTCCCCTTGGCAAATCCAGGCTTTAAGTTGATAGGAAACTTAAAGAGAGCCCTTCCTGCATTTGTTGTTCCCCAAGAGCTGTCAGTTTGGATTCCAAAGCAACATATTGTAGAGTACCATTTTCTGACTTCTAACTATTCAAAAATCAGTAAAATTCAATAAGCGTCAATGCAAAATTAAGAGTGAAATTCTGTGTTCTGCACAATCTGATTTTCCATAGCATTTACTATGTGGATATGCATCCTTGATGATTCGAGTTCTCCAGGTATCCAGAACAATTCTTCCTAGTTTAACAGCTCTACCTTTCTCTTTGTGGCTTCTTAGACACTTAAGAAAACATCCTTCCACTTACTCTCCCTGAAACTAGAAACCTCTTCTTTGTGTAACTCCACTTGCTGAACTTTCTAGATTAACTGGCTTTGTTTCTTCGTAATCCCAAAATCAAATAGAATATTCTGCCAACTGGGTAAAGCCCATTTATTTATGCTTAATGTGGTGGCTCACATCTGTAATCCCAGGACTCTGGAGGCTGAGGCAGGGGGATTTCAGGGAGTTTTACACTAGCATGGGCTACATGAGACTCTCTCATAAAACAACAAAGGAAAAAGTCATGGATTTATCTACAAATTGTTAGCATTGTCATCTACACAAAATGATGATAATCCCACTGTGATGGTTAATCTTGACTATTAACCGCGCTGAGAAGTGCCAAGCTCTAATAAAGCACACCTCAGGGTATGTCTGTGAGGGCGTTTCCAGAAAGGACTGACGTGTGGGACAGCAACTGAAGAGGAGAGGCCCGCTCTGAACGTCAGCAGCACCACCCAATACGCTAAGGCCCAGATGGAGTAAAGGTGTGAGAATACCAGCTAGGACATTGGAGTGTGTCTTTGCTGCTCTCCAGCCAGGGACTTCAGACTCCAGCTTCTTCGGCCTTTGACCATGGTCTCACTCCACTGGCTCTCCGGGAACTTCCATGCCATCAGCCTCAGGTTGGGGTTGCATCATTGATTTTCTTTTTTCTGGGCATCCACCTTTTGGGACTGAGTGGCTACTGGCTTTTCTCCGCATGCAGATGGCCTTTTGGGGCTATCCAGCCTTCTATTGTGCAAGTCAACCCAATAAATCCCCTTTTAAAATTACATAAGCATTCGATTGGCTCTGTTCCCCTAGAAAACCCTGTTTACTTACAGATTTGGGTACGTGAGAGTGGGTCTAGAAAGACAGAATTGCAAAAATGAAGGTACTTCTTTGGTTTTGTGGTGTCTGAAGCTGGTGCTGTAATATGATTAGACCAAAAGTTGCTAAAGCCTCTCCCTCCTGCTAGTAAACAAAGTACTGATAATCCATTGTGTGAGCTGTTTAGAGAATAAGCAAAGTGAGCATGTTTGATACCCCTAATTCACCACCTGAGAGAGACAAGGAATTTTGTGTCTCTATACCAAGTAGTTTTGAAAAAATCTCTGGAAAACTAAGGAACAAGATATTGGCTGATCCTTCCTGGCATTGCTGGGCACAGTTAACAGAGGGAAAGAATGAGTTCAGAGATTCAACTTCCCAGCTCTAGAGGTACATAAACAATCTAAGACTTCTAAGTATGCTCTGAAAAAAAATCTCCCCTACTGCAACCATAGGGCTGAAGTTGCTGAAAACCAAATGCAAGCCCTCATGTGATTGGCTGACTTACAATGAAGCTTAGGTCTTAGCCTCACAGAATGTCAGCAGTTAAAGAGAGGATGCTGATTGGAAAGGAGTGGGACCCTGAAACTTGGGTGGAAACGTGTGGGGAAACGGATGAGGCTAAGGACATTGAACTCTAAGAGT